ATGTACTGTTTCCCATAGTTGAAGGCAATGAAGATACTGCTATTGCAGGACAGTTAAATATACTATCTCCATTTAAAAAATATATTTTTTGTCTTCCTGTTGATAAGACAAAAGCCACAGGAAAAAGCCAAAAGAAAGAGTACCAACTATAGTGTCTGGGGAGCTTAGCCAATTGTATTTTCAAAAGAAAATGAACAAGACGTATAAAATGGAAAGACTGAAACAAGAAAAACCAGCTGAGAGAAAAAAGAGAAAAAAAAAGAAGCGAAAAATGTAAGAGAAAGAACAGGAAAAATGTGAAAAAAATTGAGCAAAAAATCAAGAAACAGAAACAATATAAAGAGTAAAACTCTTTATATTGTTTTTTAAAATTTCCATTCCTGAGCTTAGCAATGGCGAAATTTCTAAATTGATGAAGATTACTCTAAAAAAAGATGACTTTATAATTGTAAAGTATGAAGTTAGGAAAATTTTGTAAAATTTGTAACTGTTTGGGCAATTAAACTTTTCAAAACACATAAAATATATGTTAAATGTTTTTGATAAATAAGCTAAAATAAGATAAATAAATGTTTTCGATAAATAAAAATAAATAATAAATAATCACTTATTGCGCATTAGATTGAAGTACAGTTAACAAATCAACAGAATAAAACAACAAAACAAAAAGACTAAAATTTGAATTGATCACGAGATAATGCTATGTCAGACCTAAGATGTTAACTTCCATTTAAACAATTGCAAATTGTTTAAATGGAACATTGTTACAAATCAAAATTAAAAATTTTGATTTCTAACAATGAATTAACTTGTTTGTCTATGATACCAGGAAGAGCATGTTCACTCAAGAGATTAATTAGAAGAAAAAGTGTTTTGAAAATAGATCTGTCTAATTCTTAAGAAAGGTAATAAGATCAGACCCAGGTATGAGATATGGAATGTTAGACTTGCCTTATTAATGACACTATCATCAAAAACTATTCCATCAAAGACTCTAGAACTTAACTTTTGAAATAAAATTTAGGAACTTTTTTGAACTTTTCTGCTCAGTCCTTAATTTTATTTATTATTACTTTTAATGTAACTCTATTATTTCATTATTAATACAAACTTTATTGACTTTTATAATGTTTTTCAGTAATAATGGTTAATAGGTAAAGTTGCAGTGTTATTATGGGATGCATAATTTTGGAACAACTTCATATTTTGTCATCCCAAATAAGTGAGATTATTCAACAATACCAGTAGCTAGATCCAACTGAGAATTGCCCAAGATCAGAAAGACCACAGCGTGTCACGGCAATCCAAGAACTTTTAGCCCTATTAAGAAAATTGCCAGAGATCTGAAATGTTTAATGCGTTCAATGGCATGGGAGCTAAGTGTAAGCAGAGAAAGCATTAAATCATTGGAACTAAACCAAATAAATACAAATTCCAAAAATTTCTTTAAATAAAAATTTAAAGTTAAAATAGCTGCAGCATTTTATCTTTAAATTTTTATTTAAAGAAATTTTTTTCTTTAAATGAAAAATTCTTTAAATAAAATTCAACTTCTTCAGCACCATACCCAATTATTCCTATAGAAAAAGTTGTATTACTATGTTTCCAAAAAAAAGTATTATTATGTTTCCGAAAAATCTGTTGACCAGCCTCACACACCTTTTTTATCTATTAGGCTTGCGCAGATATATTCTTAATACATTGTTTTCAGTTTAGGATGTTGAATGCTGGATCTTCTTGACTCGATGTAAGAGTTTTGCTTGTGTCTCTGTTTTTATGACTAGGCAACTCATTTTATTATCTCCTAATAAAGATACAGCTTTAAAACTCAGTTTTATGGTTCTGAGGCCGGCTGGTAGTCAGGTTTCCTGAACTCTGTGGTAGCTCTCAGAGAGGTTGATTCCATCAACAGCTGAAAAATATCAAAATATTAATAGTGCCATGTTGCACATGGATGGTGTCCCTGTTTGTACTTTTGGTGTGCATTGCCAAGGCCACATTGAAGCCCTTTGTTGCGGCTTTATTAATAGTAATGAGGCAACTGCTTGGGCTAATAAACAGTGTACTGAGTACTATCTATGTTTCAAGTCAAGTTCTTTAACAAATTTGAAAATGAATAAAGTAACAAAAACTATAAAACACAAAAAACCACTGTCATCACCAAGTTCACTAAACCTATCATTCACTAATATTCGTGGTCTTCAAAGTAACTTTTCTTCTATTGAGTCGTACCGCTTGCAAAATTCACCAGACCTACTTGCTCTTTGTGAGACTAATTTGAGTACAGCTGTCACTTCTTGTGATCTTAGTGTTGATGGTTATCTTTTTTTTAATTTGTAAAGACTCCAATAGTCACATGCACGCTTGGCCTGGGCATTTACATTTCCAAGAATTCACCAATTTGTTGGGAAACTAGGTTTGAATCCACAGACTACACTTTTATGTGCTTTCGTTTAGCACCACTTCACTCTATCACGTTCCTCTTTGTTCTATATTGCTCTCCTTCATCTCAAGACTGCACTCTTCTTGATGTTATTTCTGATCATATTGACCAAGCCCTCTCTTTTTATCTATCAGCCAATATTGTTGTTGTTGGTGACTTTAATCATCACACAGAATGGCTTGGCTCTAGTGTCAGAGACTCTGCAGGAATTAAAGCCCAAAACTTTTGCTTTTTTTAATCCCTAACTCAAATAGTCAACTTTCCAACTTGCTTTCCAGACAACCCCAATCATTTACCTTCACTCCTTGACTTATGTCTTGTTTCTGATCCTAGTCAGTGCTCAGTTTCTCCACATTTACCCTTGGGTGCCTCTGATTACAGTTTGATCTCTCTAAAACTGTTATCTCATTCTTCTTTATCATCAGAATCTCTCTATTATCGTACATCTTACTTTTTTCCTGATTTTCTTCGTGATGGCACTTAGGTAGAAATCTTTCGTCTTCATGTTGACAAATGTGCTTTTTACATAACTTCATGGATTTATTCCTTCTCGGCAGTTCCAGTTCAAGCCTCACTCTTCTCCATGGTTTTCCTCACATTGTGCTGCTGCAATTGCCAATCGAAACCATTACTTCCATATCTATCAGCAAAACAATTCTCCAGAAAATAGACCTCTGTTTATTACTGCTAGGAAGTTTTGACTAATGTCAAAGCCCGCTATTCTCAGGTCAGTAAATTTGTACTTCATCACAAAAATTAGGCTCTATTGACTTCTGTAGAATCTTTAATAGTATCAATAATATGGGCAAGTCTGTAATTTCACCCCTTTTGTATGGTTCAAATTTGTCACCTCACCTAAAAACAAAGCTAAATTGTTTGCTAAGAACTTTTCATCAATATCATCTCTTGATTCTACTAGTTGCATCCTACCTGATACAGCCATCAAACAGGTTGATTCATTGCTTGACATTCGTATTACTCCAGCTTCTTCATCTAAAGTGATTTCCTGCTTAGATTCTTCTACAGCTTGTGGCCCCGACAAAATACCTGTTACTGTCTTGCAGAAATGTTCTCCGGAGCTGTCATCTATCCTTGCAAAACTATTCAACAAGTTCATTAGATAAAGGTGGAGAGGTTAAGGCCATCGCTCTTGACATTTTTAAAGCGTTTGATAAAGTTTAGCATGCTGGCCTTCCCCATAAGCTATCAAATTACGGTGTATCTGGAAACATCCTAAAGATTATTGAATCCTTCCTTTCCAATCATATCATTCTGTAACCTCAGGGGTTCTTCAAGGTTCAATCCTTGGCCCTTTACTCTTTTTAATTTACATCAACAATCTTCCAGATATTCTCACATCTAAGGTGGCACTGTTGGCTGATGATACTACCATTTATTCTTGTCATGATAAGAAGCCAACTCTCTTTGATTGCTTAGAGGGGCATTTGAGCTTGAAAAGGATCTCATTTCTGCTACAGCAAAAGGCTCACAGTGATCTTTAGGTCAGAAAAAAATCAATTTTTTTCAGCCAATTGTTATCACAATAATTTAGATCTTCCTATATTTATGAACGATAATGTACTTGATGCGTCATCTACCCTTTATCTTCTAGGATTAACTCTTACTTCTGATCTTTCTTGGAAACCATATATTAAATCCGTTGCAAAATTAGCATCTGCTAAAGTTGCATCTCTTTTTTTAGCTCAATAGTATGGAATACTGTTGCCATATCTGGGGTGGATCTTCTAATGATGCCCTTTCTCTTTTAGACAAGGTGCAAAAATGCATTGTAAACATAGATGGACTTGCTCTGGCAGCCAAACTTCAACCATTATCACATCGCGGTAATGTTTCTTCTCTTTCTCTTTTCTACAAATACTATAATGGGCACTGCTCTAAAGAGCTAGCGACTCTTGTGCCACCAACTAAAATTCACTCTTGTGTTACTCGTCATTTAATTAAGTCTCATCCTTTTTTTGTTACTGTTCCTAAGTGCTCTAAAAACTCTTACTCGTCTAGTTATTTTCCTCAAACATCAGTTCTTTGGAATTTGCTTCCTTCATCTTGCTTTCCAGATTCATATAAATTGCAATCTTTTAAGTTGTCTGTCAATCATTATCTTGCATTACAATCTTCGTCTTTTCTCTTCTAGTAAATTCCAACACTAATTAGTGGTTGCTTGCAACCTTGTTGGAAACCGAGATAATAAAAAAAAAAAAAAACGTATTATTTTTTTTTTTTTTTAAATAAATAACTACATTTGGGTCAGTAAATCGGAATTAAATAAAAACTTAGAAGTAAGATTTAAATCTACGCATGACAACTCCTATAAAATTATGATAACAAAAAACTTAACAGTTCTTTTAACTGACAAGAAAAATGAAGCTTTTATAATTTTATAAACTTGTTTTCTTTCTAAAATTAAGATTCTTTTCATGCTCTTAAACAAGTTTGTAACAAGTCTTAAAAAAAAACTGTCATATAAAAAAATCTTTGGTATTAAACAAATTTAACTTTTCTGTTCTTTTAGAAAATTTTTATCTAATTATTTTTTTACCTGTGCAAACAAGAAAAAAAGTTCTTTTTCCTCTTTCTTCAAAACTTCCTTTTATTTCGTGTTGTTTTTCTTTTATTAACATAACACTAATGAATGTTTTTCCTGTTCCAGTTCCAAGACATAAAATAGTGTTGGATTTCTTTGCCAAATCTAAAAGCTGTATTTGATAAGGTCTTGCTAAAAACTCTTCGACACTAGTTTGCTGCATATTCAATGTAACATTGATAAACTGTAATTTATAAAAGTATATATATATATATATATATATATATATATATATATATATATATATATATATATACACTACCGGCAATTAATTTGAGACCAGCGGTTAAAAATGGTATTTACATTTCAAAAATAAATATATCTGATTATCATATTTGTACTTCTTTATTTTTGGATCAAAAATAAAGAGAGCACAATAATTAAGTGGATAGAATGGCATTTTTGGTGGATATGGGCATTTTTGCACCTAAAAATTTGCTTATGTACAAAAGTATAAAAAAGTGTATGTGCTGAGTTTTTCCAGCATAAAAGACAATACAAGTATTATTTTTAACTGTTACTTAATTTTGATTAATGACTTGTAATTGATATTGAAAATATAAATTTTCTCATTGGTAGCTTCTTTTAGATACTTTATGTAGATCCAATATAGTATATAATGACTTTATTTTTTTTTAGTTTCTATTTTGTTGTACTAAAATGGCTCCAGTTCGAGAATTAAGCTTTTATCAGAGTGTTCGCATTTTTTTACTTGATGAAGAAGGTGGTTCAGAAAGAAAAATTGTCAAAAGAATGAAAATATCAAAGACTGGAATTCACAATATAATCAAGTCTTTCAAGGAAACTAATCAATATTGTGACTTTTATTACTGTTTTCTAATCATGGTCTCAAATTAATTGCCTTCAAAAAATGACTTTTTTTTGAAAATGCTTGCTCTTAACCTAAATGTGTTCTACATAAAAAAAACAACACTAGATTAAAAAAATTTTAAACAAAAAATATATTAAGGGTCGCCCAAGACTCCTCTATATCAGACAGATCCTATGGAAAAAAATATTTCTTTAAAAGTTTATCATGTTGGTTTGTAACAGTAGCAAAATTGTATACAAACTTTCAAAATATTAGTTATTTTGTTTACAAATTATTATTTTAGATTTTATTGCATTATAACTATGGTTTTTCAACATGACTAATATTATAAATTTTTTTCTTTGATAATATTTAGGGCCTGTCTGAAGTTTAAGGGTTTTGAACAACATCAAGTCACCTATATTGCAAACAAGTCACCTACATATTTGCAAATCGAAACAAATCTTAAAACAGTTTTTCTTATTGTTTTTTTAATTTCTAACACATAAAAGATTTAATAATTTATAGCTTAGTGCAGTATAGTAATCCTTGTCATCACAAAATAGATTTTGGTACATTTACATTTTGAAGAAACCATAATACTTGACTTTTTCAAAATGTCAATCTTTATTGTAATCATAAATATAATCTTCATTTGTCCTATTCCCACTTATAATCAAAGATACTTAACTTTTTTTTGATTAGATTGTGTAGTGTGGGTCTTGTACTTTATAAAATATTGTATAAAAAAAATACTAAATATGAAATTAGCTTTATTTGATTATATGGAATTTCTTAAGTAGAATATTAAATAAAATCATTGCTGACTGACAATAATGATTTTAAACAACTGATTATTTGAAATGTTTGCTATGATTAGAAGAGGGTGGGTGGAGGTAACTTCAATACTTCAGCTTATCAAAGACAAGTAGTTATAATCTTAAAAATTAAATTAGTTGGGACAAAAAAGTAATCTGATTGTGTCCGAGCTTAAAGAAGTTATGTTTCATGTAAAAATTATAGTTTTAGCTGCCTGCTTTATTTTGTTTATGCAAAAAATTGCACTTAATAAAATATTCACTAGTGGTATAAGTATGCATATTTATATCAAACACTTTCTCAAAAAACTGGTAAGAAAAATTGTAAGGGCATTGGTTGGTATAAACAGGTATAACAATAAAAGTATGTGTTTTATTGAATAATTGAACAAGTTTACTAGACAAAACCTTTCTAATATATAAATACAATTGAAAAACATCTGCCTTATTTGGTTTGCAAAAGATATTCAAACATACTATTTATATAATTTTTATCTTGTTTACATTTTATACCATCAAAACATTCATGAAAAGCAACATAATTATACAAAAAAAACTTAAAAAGAAAACCTATATAAAATACTTAACCAGAATAACTATTATATTGTTTTTAAGTTAATATTTTAAATAGAGTTAGAATTATAAAAAAAAAATTAAAAAGAAAACCTATGCAAAATGCTTTATCAGAATTATTATTAGTGTTATATTGTTTTTAAGTTATTATTTTAAATAGAGTTAAATTTAATTAATAAATAACTTTACACTACTTAAACTAGAAAAATATTATTGCAAACTATTTTAAAATATAAAATTGTTTTCCGAAAAAGCTTTAAATCAAAATCAAATTTGGGACCAATAAATAAGATAAATCTATCACAACTATTTTCATATTTGATGGTATTACAATTAATTACTATAAACAACTTTTAGGATACATTCATATACAAAATACTTCTGTTCTTTAATCTAAAGCTTTAGATCTAAAAAATCTTTTTCATTAGCTTGAAACAACTGGTTTGGGAGAAAAAAATATAATACATTTTAACCATTATCTCAAAATATTTTTTTATATTACATATGATACCTAAAAAGATTATTTTTTAAAATTGATTATAATACCTCAATCATTATATTTAGTGAAGTATAGAAGACATGCTGCTCTAGACAATTCCCTAGACAGCATACCATTTATATTTCTTAAGATATTATATATTATTTTAAATTTTGCATTACTAATACTATTGTTAATGTACAATTTAAAATACTGTATAACAAACAGTTTATAAAAATAATTTTTTTTCCTCTGCACAGCTTTAGATTAAAAGAACAATTTAAAATGAATTTAAAAAATAAAACGTATTTTGTATTCTTTATCATAATTCCTAAAAGTTGCGTATCATAATTCATTGTAATACTGGTATTAGTATATATATATATATATATATATATATATATATATATATATATATATATATATATATATATATATATATATATATATATATATATATATATATATATATATATATATATATATATATATATATATATATATGTAATACTGGCATACTAGTATTACAAATTTTGTAATACCAATATACTAGTAATGTTATTACTAGTATATTAGTATTAGTAGCTATGCTAAAATATTATATTACTAGTATATTAGTACAAATTTTAGTAGCCATGCTAAAATTTTTATTATTGTTATTCTAAAGCCTAGGTTTTCACTGTTTATGCTGTAACATATTGCACAATACAAATAGGTTACAGCATATTTAATGTTTTAAACTAAAAGAAGTGACCCTGTCAAATTTCCACATAAGATGGTCTTAGTTCTCAATATCTGTGTATACCTAATAACAGAGCATTATTTTAAAATGTTTATTACCAGCAATTACTGCTATTAAATGCAATAATGAAATTAAAAGTTTACAGTTTCTAAAATAATTTGCGCGTATTGTTACTGAATGTTTTTGTTTGAATTCAAACTGTAGTTGAAGATTTAATATATTATATACATATTTTAGGTATTTTGTATGAATATTCATATTAACAAAAATTGCCAAAAAATTTAAAAAATAACAAACTTCGTTTTGATTTTTGTTCGGATATATTTAAGTATTCCTTAATATCAATAACTAAAGTTTTAGAAAAAAGTCTATTTAAGCATGAATTTAATATTAATAATAAATTTTTTTTTTTAAAGAAATTTTCTTTCTTATTAGAAATATATCAAGTTATTTCTGAGATATATATTAAGTAAATACTGATTTGACTACTGTTCTTTTAATAATTTAACTTCACAGTTACCTAAATTATTCAAGATTTTAGTTATTGTTTCAAGTATGAAATGCGCGACATTTTTCTAAGAAACCTTTTTTTCTGAGAAATATTCATAATGTAAACATAAGAGATTACGATGAAGTACATTAATTTTAGTGTTTTTACGATGGAGTACATCAATCAAAAACAACGAATCCTCGCAGTCGGAAAGTCACGTGATATTGCAAAATTTTGATAGCACTATTTGTTACCATCTTGGATGGCCGAAAATAAATGATTAGTTGAGTTAATAAAGCTAAAAAATTCGTACGAAAAGGTTAATAAAAAGTTTAAAAAAATAAAAGTCGGTTTATTAGCCAAATTCAGTTAAGAGGCCTGATTTCGAAATTAATTCGATGTAGGGAAAAAAGTAAAGATAACTTTGTTATTAAAAAAACCAACTAAACTTGCTACTATTATTTTCTAATTCATCACGATTAAAAACGTAAATGAAGAAACGTAAATCATAAAGGAAGAAAGGAATCTTATTTGGTACTTTCGAGGAATTGTGAAACAAAATGCAAATGTATTTACGTTATTTAAAGCTAAAAAAAACTAAAGCCTTATACTATTAGTATATATTATTATACATGTTTGCTTTTCAATAACAATATTCAGTAGCCTATTAGTAATAGGCTACTGAATATTGTTGTTGAAAAGCAAACATGTATAATTCTGGATCTAAAAAATAGTTTAGTTCTGGATCTGCTGATAGCAGATCCAGAACTAAACTATTTTTTAAAGGATGTATATTTATTTGTTTTGAAATTGAAATAAAACTTTTACAAAAATGGCTGTTTAGTTATAACATGTTTATTTTGTATTAATAAAATTGAAATTCGAACGCAAATCATCTGTTTGTCAACATTTACATCACAAAGAAGTGCCATTGTTTTATCAGATTATATTAGTTTCAATACCCTATTATTTGATCGAAGTATACTTCACATAGATAACAATAAAATGGAAAACATTGAATTCTATATCATTAAACTCACAGATGACTCAAATGATAATAATACTTTTAGAAAAAAAAACACTTTTAAAAATCATATTAAAAGTGTCACGAATATCATCTCAAATCATACTGAAAATACTAATGAATGAAGTATAAGTATATGACACTGAGTTGAATTCTTAGGCAAAAATTTTGTTTACTAGGTAAACTGCTTCCGTTAAAATGTTGCGGACAGTGTTTTACAATCCTATCTATGATAATTCTCTCCGTCACCTTGCACGAGAAACACTAGTTTTTAGTAATTAGTCTTGATTTCGTTTTCTTTTTTGAGGGTAGGCATAACATTTGATTTGAGTTTGAAAAACACTCCTTGAAACCTCAGCAAATAAATTTAATAAATTTACTTTTTTTTATTAATTTTGCTATAAAAAATTGTGATCAAATTTTCTTTTAGAAAAATTATTAAAATATTTATAAAAATTTTTTCTGAAATAATCTGACAAAGTTTTAATCTTTAACAACTGACAAAGTTTTAACCTGACAAAGTTTTAATCTTTAACAACTAAATGTTTTTTTCCGATATGATCTAGTGTCTACTCTAATGCCGTCAACATAAAAAACAATTCGAAATATTTTTTTTTACTTGATCCTCTCTGACCAATGGAAAAAGGTAAATTATTTAGAACTATATTTCTTTGCTAATATAAATAAAGCAAATTAATTGCTATGCGCATCATCAATTAAAATTTATTTTATACCCAATCAATAAAAATATTATAATTAAAGTCTCAACATGTTCTTTAATTGCCTTTCGCCTTCTAGCGTCCCTATTACCTATGCGCCTGGTGCACATATGCCCCTTTTACCCCTTCTTTTCGAAGACCCTGTGTTAAATGGGTTACGGTTGCGCTAGGGCTATGGAAAAAAAATTTAACACGTGTTAGCACAGATCTAATCTAATGAAAAAGTTTAAATATTTGTTATAAGTGTTTAAGTATTTAAACTTTTATTTAAATAAAAGTTAAAATACTTAAATTCAGTTCTTTGAACTACTCTGTATTCACTAATTGTTACAAAAATTTTATGGTTTAATGAACCGGCAAAAAAAATTCCTTACAAATTTATGTATATAAAGAAAGTATACAAAGACAAGTTTTCTATACTATTAAAAAAAATATATATATATCATGTCATAAACGTTTATTAAAAAAGAACAAAAAAAAAAAAGAAAAAAAAGAGTAGTTAAAAGTACCGGCGACAGATGTATTTTAAATGTTGGCATAAAAATGGCGGCTATAAACCTCCGTGCCAAGCAGATCGGTAATACTTAATTAACTTGCACAAATGATCAGTTTTCGTTTTACAGAAATATAAAATAAAAATAAAGCAAAAAGAAAAAATGTTTAAAAAAAAAATCCATATGTTTAAAAAGACGGAAAAATTTTAGAAGCAATAAATCTAAAACACCTTTGTTTTCACTTAGAACTATTTCTATGTATTAATATGTCTTTCTATGTATGAGTATGTCTTTGTAAATAAATTTGATAAAAATTTAAAAAGTTTTTCATAATCAGCTTTTTCAATTTGAAAAAATTTGAATTTATTAGGTAACTTGCTATTATTGATACTAATTTATAAGCAAAGTTACATTACTTATATTATAAGCAAAGTTACATGCAAATCAATATATGAGCATTATTTTCTATTAGATTATGTTGATGTTTTTACTATATAATATAAAAACTCTTAAAAATCTGTTTTAAATCTCTCCTTTATATGCATACTTAACTGTAGCAAAACATTTTTACCAATTTATTTTTTATTTTTGACTAATTGTTAAGAAAATAAAGCTTATCAAGGTGAGTCCCTTTAGTATTTGAGTACTATTTATATGCTGAGTTAGCAAAACTGAATTTCAACCTACAATCCCACTGCTTTGGACTTTTAATATATATATGATCTTTGTAGCATGCTATCAATATCCGCTCATACTTGAATACAAATTCATAAAATTATCTCAGTGTTAATTAATAATGGAAATTAAAAATTAATACAAAGAAATTATGACAAATTATATTTGGTACAAGGTCTTTTCTATAATCTTAGCTCACATATATAGCAATTTTATGTAGTTGAATTATTTTAAGATTTTTATAAAAGATTTTAAATCAAGAAATAAAATGTGTAATAATCATGTTAAGTTTTTTCCTAAAATCTTTTTTTTTTAGAATCTGTGAAGCGTATGTTGAATTTTCATGAAAGTGTGACTAAAACTTCACTTGCATTAGCAGAGCCAACATGGAAGGTATTTAATTTAATGTTTGTTTAAAATCAAATGTATGTTAATGGTATTAGCCAATTAACGTTAAAAGTCTTACTTTGTTTTAAATAGTTTGAAGGATCTTTATTAAAATTTTATTTATCCAGAGAATAAAAGTAGCTATTATCTGATGAAGTTTGTTTTTATATTTAATAATAGTGACAAGTAACAAGACAAGTATGTAAATATGGCTAAATATTGTTTTGTTTGCTTTTTTCTTCAACCTTGAATAGTTATGACTTCCCACAATAATGTACAGCACACCTTTCAAAAGCTTCAATACTCATCTGCAAATGTTTTTTTGAATAAAGTGGCATAATCTTAGTAATGATTTGGTGTTAATCCTATATTTTGAATTTTTTTTAAACTCTGATTCATTCATTTCACCAAAGGGAGTGTTCATGATGATAGAGTTATTTATTGCATTTATTTTGGAAGCCTTATACCTAGTCTAAGGCTCATGTTTGTTGTCTATTTACTGAAATCATTTACTAAAGTTGTCATTCTTTTATTCATTTTAAACAAAGACTTCTAATGCTGATTTTCAGGAACATAATTATAGTAGTTATACTTTAAAAACACTAACTGATAAACAATGTCTGAAAGGAAACTTTCATGCTTAGGATTTATTTGTATGTTGTTTATTGATGTATATTGTATCATAGATGTATGTTTGACACTTAACCATATGTCTGACTTGTGCTTTATTAAGTATTAATTAGGATTTTTTTCCAATTTTAATATTTTTCTGACAGTTTGTTTCCTAATAGCTCTTAACTTAAAAAGTTATAATGTGCAGCCTTGTTGGAAGTGAGTTTTTTTAAAAAAAAATAATCAGTTAAATGTTTCATTATTATTTGTATAAATTAACACTTATACTTACAATTTATTAAAACAGTAATATGAAAACGTGTAAATAAATTAAATTTATTAATGCACTATTATATATTTAATTTACTAAAAGTTAAATTAAATGTGTTTAAATAATTTAAACATAGCAGTCATAATACAGCACCACATAAATACATAACAATATAACATAAATATATTCTCTCTATATATAAACTCTCTTGAGAACAAGTGGCTATTTATTATTGCAAGAAATCTATGTAAAAAGGTGCTTTCTGATGCTAAACTCCATTATTCTCAGTTCACTAAATCTCGCATCTTATCACAGAAGTTAGGCTCTAAAGACTTTTGGAAAATCTTGAACAGCATTATTAACAAGGGTAGATCTAACATTCCATCTCTCATTCATGGGACTGATCTTATTACCTCTCCCAAGGATAAGGCAGAACTATTTGCAAAGAACTTTTCTTCTAATTCCACTCTTGAATCTTATGGACATTCTCTTCCTTCCATTCCAGTCAAACAGGTTGACCCATTGTTAGACATTCAAATCACTCCGGCTTCTGTTGCTAAAGTCATATCTCAATTAAACTCGTCTACAGCTTGTGGTCCAGACAACATTCCTGTCACAGTCTTGCAGAATTGTTCTTTCTTCAACTCTCTCTAAACTATTTAACAAGTGTTTGACTGAGTCTTGTTTTCCTGTTTGTTGGAAAATGGCATCTGTGGTTCCAATATTCAAAAACTCTGGAGAAAATTTTGACCCCTCCAATTACCGTCCGATCAGTCTTCTTTCTGTTATTAGCAAGGTCTTTGAGTCTTTGAGTCTTTCTTCAACAAATTCCTCACATCTCATCTTGAGTCAAATAAACTGCTGTCAGACAATCAATACGGTATTCGATCCTCTCGCTCTACGGCCGACTTGCTAACTGCTGTAACTGAAAGATTTTATCGTGCATTAGATGGAGGCAGTGAGGCTAGGGCTATTGCTCTCGACATATCTAAAGCTTTCGACAAAGTTTGGCATGCTGGTCTTCTCCATAAGCTTGCTTCATATGGTGTTTCTGGGAAAGTTTTTGAGATTATCGAATCATTTCTTTCTGACCGGTTTATTAAAGTCATCCTTGAAGGCCAACACTCTTCTTTATTTCCAGTAACTTCTGGGGTTCCCCAAGGTTCCATCCTGGGCCCTGTTTTGTTTCTTATCTACATAAACGATCTTCCTGACAACCTTTCATCTAAAGTAGCTCTTTTTGCTGATGACTCAACTTTATACTCCTGTCTTGACAAAAAGTCTTCTCTTTTCGATCGCCTAGAACAAGCAGCTGATCTTGAATCTGATCTCACTTCAGTAATCGATTGGGGTTCACAGTGGCTTGTGAATTTCAACTTTAAAAAAACCCAATTGCTTACTGCAAACAACTACCGTAATATGGTCAACATTCCTATATTAATGAATGGCAATCCTCTTACTGAGTCCTCCTCTTTATGTCTTCTTGGATTATCGCTTACTACTGACCTTTCATGGAAACCATATATACAATCGATTGCTAAATTCTGCTAAGGTTGCTTCTCTTTATCGTGCTCGCCATTTCCTTACTTCTGATTTCATTCTCTACCTCTACAAATCTCTTATTTGTCCCTGTATGGAATACTGTTGTCATATTTGGGCTGGTTCTTCTAACGATTCACTTTCTCTTCTTGACAAGGTCCAAAAACGCATTGTAAATGTTGTTGGACCTGGACTATCTGCTAAGCTTGAGCCTCTTTCCCATCGTCGTAAAGTTGCATCTCTTTCTCTTTTCTACAAATACTATCATGGTCACTGCTCAAAGGAGTTATTATCTCTAGTTCCATCAACTAAAATTCATTCTCGTTTTACTCGTCATTTAGCTAAGTCTCATTCGTTTACTGTATCTCTCCCTGCATGCTCTAAAAACTTTTATTTATCTAGTTTTTTTCCCCGCACTTCAATTCCTTGGAACTCTCTCCCATCTTCATGTTTTCCTGACTCATACAACCTTTAACTTTTCAAGTCTTCTGTCAACCGTTTCCTTGCTCTATAACTCTGTTCTTTTTTTCCTAGTAACTCCCAACTTTATAGTGGTTGCTTGCAGCCTTGTTGGGAGTGAATGCAAATAAAAAAAAATATACATATATATAAAATAACATAACATAAGCTAATATTTTTGCTATTTTTTTTTTTCATTAAAATATAAATAGACAACTATTGAAATATTTGAAACCATTAGATTGGCCAATAAAATGTAAAAAATTATTAATGAATATAGTTATTATTAAATTATTTTTTAATGGTTTTAGGTTTTAGTTTATGATCAGTTTGGTCAAGATATTATTTCACCTTTGCTTACTCTCAAAGAACTTAGAGAACTTGGTGTTACATTACATTTGTAAGTAATTTTTATGCTTTTGTTTTTAAGTTTATTTTAATCTGAAACAAATAATATTATGTTAAAATTAATCTAAATTCTTATTATGATTATAAACATATTTTACAAACAGTGTTGCTAAACTAACATTAGGTTGAAAAAAATTGTACAGAAAAACTGTCTTAATGTCTGGTGACTCCAAAAGTATATTTCAAAAATTTTTGATGTTTCGTCCTAATAAAATATGACATGTTATAAAAAAAAAAACAAAAAAACAACAACAACTAATTATTATATAAAATGCACACAGTTTCATAATGCATTATTGTACATTTTGATATTTTCTTTATTTTAATCGTTTTAATATAGAAGATTAGGATAAGTATCAATATCTCTGAAAACATATAGAGTCATATTAAAATTTGGAGTGAAGTTTTCTTTTATTATTATAAGCTGATTGTATTCAAAAAATAATTAAAATTTGAGATGGCATGGTGCCCCTAATTTTTTTTTTTTTTTTTTGGGATTGATTTGATATGTAATGACCCAAATTATGTTTATGAGTATCTTACCGGCAACGGATGAAATCTATCTAATCTTTATTATTTTATTCTTTATTAAAAATAGTTCTTTTTTGAAAAATCTTTAAAAAAGCTTAATTGTTTTGGCTAAATTAAAAAAGCTAAGTTAAAAAAAAAAAAAACAATAGGTTCTTATGTTATGTATAAGATTGTTTTAAAAAAGTAAATTATAAGGTAATATGTTTTTTAAATGCCAAATTTAGATTTCATTAGTAATTTTTGTTATAGTTATTTTATCTAAATGATTTTTAATGTGGTTTTGAATTAAGTTTAATTACAATGCAGTACTTTAAAACATGACCAAATTTAACTTTTAATGATCTAATATAATATAACAAAGCTGAGTTAAATTACTCTTACTTGTGTTTAGCGTTTTTGTTGCAACAAAATCTCTTAATAAGACCTGTAATCTATATCTGAAATCTCTGAAAATTTTGAATGAAAAGACTGTCAGCCATTTTTTGACCATTGTCCCATCGTTGTAATGTTGCTTCACTTTCTCTTTTCTATAAATAATATAATGGCCGCTGCTCCAAAGAACTAGCCTCTCTTGTGCCATCTACTATAATTCATTCTCGTGTTACTCGTCATTCAATCAAGAATCATCCTTTTACTGTGACTGTTCCTAAGTGCTCCAAAAACTCTAATTCATCTAGTTTTTTCCCTCAAGCATCAATTATTTGGAATGCACTTCCTTCTTGCTTTCCTGATTTATATAATTTGCAATCATTTAAGTCGCTTGTTAATCGTTATCTTGCTTTATAAACTTCATATTTTTTTTTCCAGTAATTTTCAACTCTAAGTGGTTGCTTGCAGCTTTGTTGGAAGTGATTGAAAGTAAAGATGTTTATATATATATATATATATATATATATATATATATATATATATATATATATATATATATAGATTTCGTTTAGAAGCATTACATGTCAATTTTATGTACAAAATGGCGATTTCACCTATGCGTTAAGCCATTTACATTATGTTAAAACTTTTTTTAATCAGATTGTTTAAAAAGTCTTTTAAAATAGTTTATGCGACAAACAGAAAGCAGTAATTGTTGAAAAAAACATTTTCACCACAATTGTGCAATAATCTTTTTTTAGATAAAAAAAAAAAAGATAAGTTAAATAAATTTTTTTTTTTTTGACCACGGCTTTTATTTTTACATATTTTTAAAATTTAAAAATGCGCTACAAAAACTTACCTAAACTTATTTAGAAAAAAAAAATTGTAAAGAAAAATAATATTTACGAAAAATAAAATAAAAAAAATACTTAGTTAAAGCAAAAACACAAAAAAATAAATATATATATATATATATATTTATATATATATATATATATATATATATATATATATATATATATATATATATATATATATATATATATATATATATATATATATATATATATATATATATATATATATATATATATATATATATATATATATATATATAATGCAACTAAAACAAAACTCAATTTATGCATTAAAAAACCATTTCAATCTTTGTTTTCAACATTTGTATATATTATTTCTTTATTTAATATGTGTCAAAAGTTAAACATTTTTCATAAAAAAATAATACATAATTATATATATTAAAAAAAACAACATTTTATTAATACCAGGGCTCGAATTAAGAGTATCGCGATTGCTTTTTACACCTTTGTGATTAGTTTTTTCTTAAAACATATTTTTGCGATTGGTTCACTTTTTTAGTTGTTTATTTACTATTTTTCTAATTTAGCTTTTTTTTTTGGCAATTCTTCAAAGTAATGTTTTCATAGTAAAGTACGTCACGCAAAGTTTGTCTTTTGAATAGAAGCATGATCATTTGCTCTTTCGCGCGGAGATTTTTATACAATGTAAAGCACTTTTTAACTTAAATTACTTTAAATCTATGTGTAGAAGCAAATTAAAAAGACAAAAGTTAAAAATAATTTTTTCTTCATTTTATTTTTTTTAACAAAACAGCATTTTTATCTTTTTTTTAAAAAAAACATTGCTTTAAATTAACTTAATAATAATGATTTAAATTATTATTTTACAAACAATTTTATATAATTATTTTTACTACTTTAAGTATAATAAAATATATATAAATTAAATATAATTAGTAAAATAGTGCTAAAAGAAACCAACAACTTTTTTGCTTTCACCTTTTTTTGCTTTAACGACCTCGAAACTATTGAAGATATATTTAGTTAACTTAACTGAATGGATAGAGTATATCACAGTGAATTAACTTATAACCTAAATCAAAACAACCAGTTAATTTAAGATAGTAACTTACAGTATTAATTTTACAATTATGAATGGTAATGTACTAGATGAGTCATCTACCATTCATCTTCTAGGATTAACTCTTACTTCTGATCTTTCTTTTAAACCGTATATCAAATCCATTGCAAAATTAGCATCTGCTAAGGTTGCATCTCTTTATCGAGCTCGACACTTTCTTACTCCAGATTCTATTCTCTATCTCTATAAATCTCAAATCCGTCCCTGTATGGAATACTGTTGCCACATCTGGGGCGGATCTTCTAATGATGCTCTTTCTCTTTTAGACAAGGTGCAAAAACGAATTGTAAACATAGTATAGATTCATATAATTTGCAATCTTTTAAGTCATCAGTCAATCGTTATCTTGCTCTACAGATTTAGTCTTTTCTCTTCCAGTAACTTCCAACCCTTATAGTGGTTGCTTGCAGCCTTGTTGGAAGTGAAGATGTTAAAAAAAAAAAAAAAAAAAAAAAAAAGAAAAAAAAAATTATATATTAATTTATTTAATATACTCGCAAAAGTTAGCCATAGACATGTTTCAATTTAGATCTTACATGTTGTTAACACATAATATAAGCTTTTAACTAATAATTATTTTAACAAAAATTGTCAAATAGAATATGAAAAACGCGACACCATTTTTTTATATTCTTATTTTATTTATAGCGACATCTAGACTAAACATTTTCTATAAATACGCAATCGTTTTCAGGAATTTTATTTAAAAAGAAATCTATTTGAACAAAAGAACTTTAGCCTTAAAATTCACTTTTCAAATAATTTTGTGATTGAAATTTGAAATTTAAAAAAAATTTAAAAATTTAAAAAAAGTTTGGGAGAATGAAGAAGAAAGTTTTTTTTTCTTAAGTCGTAAATTTTTTTAATGTTTTGAATTATATATTTTTTCTTGAAAATAGTTTTAAAAGTAGAAACATTCTATTGCAAACATCAAAGCAGTGATTGCAAATTGCAAGTTAAAATCAAAAATTATAAAAAATTTAATAAATTATTTTACTTCTGTTCGAAAATTTTTATAAAAAAATAATTTAAATTTTTAATAGCTTGCTTGATAAAGACGTGGTATCTAATGTTTTTATGCTTTGATATTACTCGTTTGGTCTATAGATTATAAACTTGTATAGGTCTATAGGCGCAAATATGAAGTTTTGTTTTAGTTTATTAACTAGATCAATTTTGTTTATTTGCTTCCTTTTATTTTAAACACATTTTATTTTATAAATTGTATAAATCAACATGAAACAGCGTTAGGAATTTGTTTTACATTAACCCAAGCTCTTTATATTTTTAAAACAACTTTGCAGTTTGTTTTAATGTTGTTTCATAGCTTTTAACAATTAAATACTTTTTAAAATTAACACACTTTTTAACGTCAGCATGAACGTATTAAATAGTTTTCTTTGACTAATTAAAGTGGTTTAGATGTCGCAATGTTGTTTTTTCTCTTACTTTTTTACTTTTACTTTTTTAAGTATCATTTTAAGTAAAAAATATACTTAAAGAAATATCTTAATTGTATTAAAAACATTATTGCTTATTAGAACTGCAACTTAAACTTTAAGTTATAACTTAAGTTGTAAATAATAACAGTAACTTACGCTATTTTAAACTCTGCCGAACAAAAAAATTTTAAGATTATATTTAAAAATGAGAGATAATATATTAAAAGTAGAACAGTTACGTACAAAAGTTACAATTATATACTAACGCAACTTCCCTCGGGGATGGAGGGGGTAGGAGGTGAAATTTTTTCTTTTTTTCGCGATTAGATATTTTTGCGTTAATTCAAGCCATGAATACTTTTTTTGAAATTAATTAAAAGTGTTTTTTTACTTCATTAAAAAGCGTTTCGATAATATAAAAGCATTTAGGATCAAACTTATTATATTGTAACGGCTATTTAAAACTTTTTTTTTTAAACAAAATTGTGTTTATCTTTTGAAATGCATTAACTTTAAATATTCTTATATTTAAATTTGTTAATAAGACTTTCGCAGTCGTAGAATGTCATGTTTATAAAAGCAACACAATTTTTTATTTTCTAATAACGTTTATTTTAAAAATAAACACTTGAACAATTTATATGTTATAAATTAAAAAATATATATACAACTGTCAATTATATTT